CCCGACGTTTACAAAGGTTAGCGGAGTGAAAATGATAAGATACGCAAGCTGTAGTCATCGCGTTCTTCCCTTACAGCCTTCACCTTCCATATTTCCTATGTAATTTCAATCTCTACGCCATTTATTTTTAACGATCCTCTTTAACGATTTTCTATCTTATCCGCCACACTATTCGATACTTATGTCACCTTCGTTTCGAATACTACGAGCTTGTTAAGATCATGTTGGCCAGATACTCGGAGCCGATCGGATCGTATTTCGCGGTGGATATCGTAAGCACAGGCATCGAAATCACCGTCCAATTTCCTAAGGGGCTTCGTAAATTATCGTTATATATACAGTACTTACACGGAACCAATTCCCCAAAGGGAATTGCCCTCCATAAGACGTTTGCGTCCTTCGCTTGCAGCATGTTTCACTCGCCTCCTTGACAAACGCTGCAAATGGAAGATGATTTACAGCAGAGACGTTAATCGATTGGATCAATCCATGAGCGATGTACAAAGAAACTTGTTAACGCTAATTAGTCGAACTAATGAGTTACTTATCCGAACACGTCCAGTTTATTCGTTACTTTTTGTGTAAACGATTTCGTTGCTTTTGTAAAAAAACTATGTATCTTCTCGTGAATTTTACATGGACGTGTTTTAGATGTGGCTGTTTTTAAATTGATCTTAAGTAGATGTAGTCGTGGTTACAAATGAAATAAAATGGCTGTATAGTTCTTCCATATCTACGTACGATAAAAATTACAATAAAAGATACGAGCTGAAGGAAGAAACCAACAAATATTAGGTTAGCCGAAAAGTATGTTTCTTTTACAGACGCGTCTTTTACAACGACGTAGCTTTATACAAAACGTGAAACCTAATCTATCGAACGTTGTAATCTTTATCCTGATAGAACGAAATGGATCATACGTAATTCGATAAAACAATATAAAATGTAAAATGTTGTGCGTCCATTATTTCTATAATGGAAATACATTGAAAAATAGCAGAGATCTAATACAATGAAAAATTACAAGAAAAATCCGGCAGCGTCACGAAACTTTTCATCGGTACTATACGTCATTGCGAAAAATTTGCCAAGAGAAAGACACGTCGGTTGCAAGAACAAAGGAGCGTAAACGTCTGATCGAGCTTGTACTTACGTACGACGAGCACGTAACGGACACGGAATGTGCATCACGACTTCTTTGCACCTGTCTGATTTATGAATATCATTCGCGTATACGCGGATCTAACGTTTGTCCAACGAAGAAAAAGACTCGTTACAGCAATTAAAAGCGAATGAAAAAAGAAATGTGAAACAGTAAGAAGGAAGATCGTCTTGTATTCTCGTGTCGATCGTCGATAATTTATCGGCAAATTAACGTATCGATTTCTCCCTCGTATTAACCGCGTTTCCTATTTAGGCAACACGATGATTTTTTGATCGCGACAGTGTATTATTCACCGTAGCAAGCTGTATGTCGCAACTGTGCAAAAACCGTGAAACGACTGGCGCATTCCATGTTACAGCGGAATGCAGTTACGCGAGACATACGTGCGTCGCGTAACCGATCGAATCTTTTTCGTTTCTGATCTCGTTCGCTGTGTTTCAGTTTGGCCGAATAAATCTTTGTAAAAGTAAAGAACGAAATTTTAGTTGTTGATTCAATCTTTCGTTATCGAATTTCAATTTCTCATTCGTTTATTCGTTATCCGATTTCAATTGTTTCGTCGGTTATTCCATTTCAATTTTCAAGTTTGTTCTTGAATCTTCGTAAAAATCATCGCAGGATTTCTGGAGCTTCTCGTGAAATACATATTTCTACCGTACTAAACGTTATTATTATACAGAACAGTGTATTACTTGCATTGTAACATTCAGTATTACATTACAATGCTATACACTTTACAATGTAGTTCTGTATTGACATGGTCAAATGAGAAGAAAAAGCGCTTTACGTAAGCCGATAACAATTATACAGCCGATAACATTATACCGTAATATTATACAAAAGAAAATCAATGTAATATAATAAGCGTCTTTCAAAATCTATTCAACATACAATGCATAAAATTCTACTAAATATTAATCTTCCTAACATCTTCCTTCCATTCACTTCATGCATTCATCATCCACGTTTGCACATCAGCAAAATGAATCCGATTTCATGGTATCTACTATGCTACAGAAGCCAAGTAACAAGTCCAAGACCTACAAAACCAAGTCCTGCATTCGAGATTACGTACATTTGGCGAAATCCTGAAATTTGAATTATCCAAATCGTGGAAATACCGATTCTCAAAGTATAGGACGCGTTAGTGGCGATTGAGATGTCAATTGGCTATGGAGAAGTGGCCGTAACTAATTGTCAGCGAGTTCAAAGCTGTTCTAATTCAACTAGATACGCGGCGTGATGAACGAGCAAGCTGATATATAACTGTGCGATCCTCCGCGAATGCAGATCTCGTTGTCAGTCGTATTCATTGGCCTAGTTCGAACCGAACAATTGATTCGCCTTGCGGACGTTATTTCCAAGTCAGATCGAGCTTTTGTACGTGTAGGATGGAAAAAACGGGATTTTTCTGGTTCAACGTCTCTTAAAGCAATCGCTCAACACTTTACTGTTGAAAATTGAAAGGAAAGCGGTCCGCTCTTTAGTTTCTTAGTAGGAGATAGCTTGATAGGTTGATGTATTCAAAAATGTGCGAAATACTCGTTCGAGCAAGCAATTGTGAAGGAAAAACTATTGTAACGCGAATATCCGAAAATTTCTTGGATGCTGGTAGAATTAAAATGTAAACTTCGGGATGTCAAAAAATTCAAAGTAAATTGAGAAACAGATGACATAGCTACTGGAGCGTAGCGAGTCTTTTAAGAACTACGTTAATTTGCGTCGGACAAAGGGAATGTCTTTTGCTCTCGAAGCTCGTTGTACGTCGAGCTTCAAACAATTCCGTCGCCAATAGTATAGAGCGTCGTTTAAATTTCATATTTTCGTCATTTTAACCGGCACGATCTCAATTGCAAATCGCCGACCCTCTAAGGAACATACGCCGGGGCGACACAAATCTCCTCGTCGCGGATTTAATGAGCTTCACACTCCCCGGAGACTGAAACTTCTTTGGATTGTTAGAGAAACCAATGGTTTTCGGACATACGGTGCAATTCTATCAGAAACTCGATATCTTGTTGTATTTTCACGGATTTGATAGAAAAGCGTTGCTTTTTTTAGAATTTTGTTTTCTTTCTATGTTCGGTCGCTTGGAAACGCTATGTTGTGAAATGGTTTTCAGAGAAACGCTGTACAGAGAACTTGCGGAACTTTTGCTTCCATATATTCTCTATATACAGGGTGGTTGATAACTGGCGATACAAGCGGAAAGGGGGTGATTCTACGCGAAAAAAGAAGCGGAAAATATAGAATAAAAATTTAAAAATTTTTAAATTTTTAGATTTAAATATTTAAAAATTTAAATATTTAAAAATTTAAATATTTAAAAATTTAAATATTTAAAAATTTAAATATTTGAAAATTTAAATATTTGAAAATTTAAAAATTTAAAAATTTAAATATTTAAAAATTTAAATATTTAAAAATTTGAAAATTTAAAAATTTAAAAATTTAAAAATTTTTAAAATTAAAAAAATAACGTCAATCGAGACAAAGATCTACAGTGAGATCCGTTATAACGAGACGCGATAAAGTGCACGCGTACCGAGCGAAAATTCAAAGTCGATTTTCTCGAAAACGAAGCCTCAAACGAAAAATTTGTATTCTATATTTTCGACTTCTTTTTTACATATACTGTATATACATCCTGTAGTAGAATCACCTCGCGTAGAATCACCCCCTTTCCGCTTGTACTACCAGTTACCAACCACCCTGTATATCTTTCTATTTGATACAAAATAATCAAATCTGAAGGTTTTCATCGAGTGATCATTCTTTCACTCGCCTCTTTGTGATTCTTTATAAAATAACTAATTCGTTACAAGAAAAGAGAATAGAAAAACTAGAAGAGAAAAAAAATAAGAATGCTACTTATTTGAGTTAGGAAAGCGATTCAGTGATTTTGTAACAGATTAGATAATATAATATATAACACAAACAATATAATGTAGATGATGAATAAAAATCACTGCTATAGTTTCACGCATCTAAAAATAGTAAAAGAGAAAGGAAAAAGAAAGTGGTCGGTAAAAATTTGCTGCGAGAGCATTTCCATCAGTTCGTCAGTAGAGTGGCGTTGAGAAACGAGGCGAGGCCGGGCTCGAAGCGGCGATTAAATGTCAAACGCAGATCGGATTGTTGTTTCGGTGGACTTTGGAGCGAATGCTCGAAAAAGTTGGCCAGGCTGGTTTTCGAGGAAAATTCAATTCAACCTAGTACCTATCGTTGACAGTCTCGTCACCGGTTCAAAACGCGATCTGCTTCTCTCGATCGTGTAAAACGAGAGATCTCGAACCGATTGAAATCGTCGAACCCACGCCTGTCGTTTATACGTATTTGCCACTGATCGTTCAACGCTATTTGCTCGAATATATACACCTCGATTCATAAGTATTAGAAATATGCACAGGCTCGCGAAAATATTGAAAGAATAGTCGTACACAGTTTTTACGAATATATCATATGTGTTAGACGAAATATTTTGCAATTTCATTAATACTCTAATGACAGTCATAATCATATTTGTAATATTTGACACAAATTCGAGTACATAGAAGAAATTGCAAGATGTTTGACGGAAGTGTATACGTATTTCGTGTTGTAAGATTATTTAAACGATCAGTTATTCATTATATTAATGAGACTTAGTATTCAATGGAGCCATCTTTAACCGAAAGGTACAAAAGATGTAATTAATTATTCCAACGAATAGAAGGAAACTACCAAAAGAATGGAAAAATGGAACATAATTCGATCCATTGAAATTCATCTCATTCTTCAAAACAATATGTAGTCGCCGACAAAAACGTGCTTCAAAGATGTTTTCGTTTTTCAGGCACAGCGCGATCGACGAAGAATCGCCAAGTTCGATCACCAAGTCGTTGACAGTGGCCACACCGTCTCCAAGGGACGCCTCACTTGACGATCCTCTGGGTACTTCCACAAACATCAAACAAATTTTCCCATTACACTCCAGCGCTTCGACCGACCAATATTCTTCGATTCGAAGATTCGAAACAAAAGCCAACGACCCCATTAGGCTCCAATACCCACAGATAAAACGAGACTCTCAATCTCCAAACATTGTCAAGAAATCCTCTTGTTCCCCAAAACAGACCACTCTACCAACCGATAACTTAGGTCTACTAAAAAAATCGCCACATTTAGACAAATTAAATGACCTGGACAGACAACTACCAGAAGGATTCGCAGATTTGGAAAGCAAAGTGACCATCAAGTTACCTTCGGAAGAAGCCACATTGAGGTCTATAGATCGCGAAGATTCCTTCAGAATTCCATCAAGCCCCGAAGATATTTCTGATCAAGAAATCGTTGAGGTTAGAAAGGACAGTGCTCTGTTCCTGGAGGAACCTGAAGGTCTGCCCACTCTTCGAGAGATACTTAGGTCTAGGAGTCCAAAGATCGTCAGACCTAGAAGGGAGAGTAGCGGATACGGAAGTAATTTGGGAACTTTTGACGAGGATAGAAGAAACTCGTCGTCCGCGGATGTTTTGCAAGATTTGTCGTCGTTTTTAAAAGAGAGACGAAGATCTTCTACCGGTCCTAAACGGTTGAACTCGAGGGTGATTTTGGGCAGAGCCGAGGAGAGTTTGGCTAAAGACGGTGAAGTTGGAAGGATGCCTACGACCGAAGTTCACAGGAAGCTATCTGGGGCTGGACTCGAGATGCCAAATATTGAGGAGGTTAGGGAAGTTCTTAGGGATGAGGTCCCTTCCAGACAGGAGAGCTTGGATAATCTTTGTAGTCTTGTGAAGAGGGTTAGCTCGGGTAAGTTGCGGTGCATAACGATTGGTTGGCTTATAGAATTTTCGTACCTTTATATTTTTATAGTTTTTCGCGATAACTTACTAAGTTGTGATATTTTACGTGTTTATCGTACAAAAATAAGTTATATCTGAAGCTTCTTTTCTGTTCATCAGAAGACTTCTCCATGCGCTGTGGCCTTCTCGGAGATCCTGCGGATCAACGTATCTGCCTAAAAGACACGTCAGGCATATCAACCATCAAACACCAAGACTCGTCAGCCCTCTTCGATTCTTCTCTCAGCGATTCGGCCAACCGTCTCTCGATATCTCCAACCTCGAAGAGTCCGACTCAACCAGTCGCACGTTCCACAGCGACAACGTTTCTCAGTTCCAGTGTACGAGACATCAACAGGCTCGTCAATAAATTTGACGAGTCTTTTGATCGATCAAAAGACACGAACGCTGAAAGACACAAAACTGTCGCGTCTAGAGCCAACGAAGCATCTCAAAATAAGTTGGCCGCTCTGCAAACCAGAGAGGAAACGGTACAACAATCCGTGAAAAACGATATTCAATTCGATGTTCTTCCACGATCGATTAAGATGTATCAGTTGTTATCCACCCAATCTGAAGATAGATCCGATGGCGAGTTGCATTTGGACAGAAGGATATCGTTTCAAATTTCAAAGCAGGAAGACGTGGCTGCAACAATGATGTCATCGGCGGTATCAATGAACGCGTCTCTGAACAAGTCTTCGAGTGTCTTCACGTTGAAAAGCAGCGTTTCTGGAGATAATCAGACATTGACGTCCGGCGAAGCTGTTGACAGCTGCAACGCGAGGAAGACAGTTTCACCTGGAGAAATTGGGACGAGTCAAAGGTTCCTTGGGGATAGTGGAAACGTATCTGCGAGACCTATTTATCCGTACTGTCCTTACTCGCCCTATGGGAGTCCTCAGGGAAGTCCCAGGAATAGGAGAAGACCTTTGAGAGAGAGTAGGAGAGTTTCTATCGATAACAGACAGGGAGCTCTTCAGCTGAATCAGTATAAATTATTGGATAATATTGGCCAGGTAAGTTTCTATCCGTTATGTGACTGTTTCTATGATTTGTAAGATTTTCAAAGTCCACTGTACCTCAAAGCTTTATGTTCATTTTTATAGTTCATTTTTATTAATCTCAAAGTCAACTCTAAATTAATTCGTGTAACCAATTCACAAACACAGGTTTAGGTCGGTCTTCACGTCACCAAATAAATTACAAACATAACATAGAAGTATCCACGATATTCGTAATTAATTAAAATATTTTCCAAAAGTCCAGCAATTTAATTCTTTAATTTTTCAAGTTCACCGGTTTAAAAAACACCAATGTGTTTCGCTTTTATTAACTTTGAGGCTAAATGGGAACTCATGTATGTAATACTAATTCATATTTGTGAGAATATAATTAAGCAAGTAGAACGCCATGGAAAATATGGTTTTACCTATAGAAACACTACTCTTTGGCTACCTTTTTATACATTTTTTTAATATAATGCGCATTTTGGGCATCTTGCATTTTGAAATTTTTAATTTAACTTCCCTTATACATATCTCGTTAATGGAACAACCAGACGAATATTCCTTCCTTAATATTCACTAAAGGAAATTCTACTTTTTGCCCTTATCGCGAGCTACCCACGTAAAGTAGCTGTAATAGAACGAAACTGAATATGTAAATGAGAGGCAACCATAAATGAAATATTCTCCAACGGGATCGGTCGTAATTTTTGTTCTTCCCCGGCAAACCGTGTTCCGTTTCCCACGGGAGTTTAGTCCGGTGAAACTCATTAATCGCGAGAAATTTTGAGGCCAGTTTCGATGCACGGCGATTCGCTTTAATCGCGTTTAATTGAACAGTATCGGGAACTGTGCCGCGGGCGCGTGGAAAATCACGCGTTAGCGTATTATTTGCCATCGAAACCGATTAAATATTCTGATCGATCACACGAGATTACTTTGAAGCGTGATTTATTATTTTCAATAACGTCGCGCTGTGTCGTTACGATTATTATTCGATATTATTGCACATTAATCAAAAATGAATTATGACATTTGTTACATTTATTTCACGCGAAATCATTGAAAAGATGATTTCCGAACGTGAAAAATGTAATTATCAAATGATTTTTAGTTGACGGTAGACGTAGAAAAAACATGGTAAAGGCAGAGAGGATTGTGGTTTGGTCTGTTTTCTTCTTTCTTTACTTTCTTTTTCTTTTTCCTTTTCTTCACTTCGAGATGATGTCGCGACATAGCATAAATTGCTCCAATTTTCTAAATTACCATTCATTCTCCTTTCCATTACACTTGCTTCGTGATAAAATTCTTTCTCTGCATAAGAAACAGCCGATGAATATATTGCTACAGAGCTTAGATTTTCTTGATTGCACTTGCCATTACTTCGATAGAAATTGCTTCAGTTATTTGATTATTTTAATTCTATTAAGAATGTTGCGTTAGAATGTTACACGCTGATTTTTCCGTCATTTTCTATCTAGTTATATCTTTCTAGCGTTAAAAAGTATCTTCAGTTCGAAGATAACAAAACGACAAGAACTGTTTATTAGTATGCGTATTCTCGTTTCAATGTTATCTCGTTATGAGTCGTAGCAGAATCATATAAATGGAGAAATATAAAATCATCCCATATTACACCTACATCTAAAAAGATTCTTGGCATCCAGTTTGAATTTTCATTTTTGCCAAATTGCTCGTTTTGCTCCTTCTATCGCTTGCCAGGCAAAATAAAAATATCTCACTTTCCAACTAAAATAAAAATAACACAATTCAGCACGAAAAAAGAAGCGCGACGAAAGAATAAAAAATCTGCGACATATCATCTCCGTAGATTCTACACTTTTATTGCTAACAGTTTCCTGGCGCCTAGTTTGTATGCGAAGTTTCACCATTTCCAAAGTGCACGTATTGTGCGTTCTTTCGTTTTCCAAATAAAATAAGACTAATGCAATTGGGCACAAAAAATGGGTTAGGCAAGTGGAAGAATAAAAAATCTGCGACCTATCAGCTTCGCAGATTCTACACTTCTATTGCACCTACATTCTAACAGTTTCTTGGTGTCCAGTTTCACTGAGAATTTTCACCATTTTCAAATTGCACGTTTCGTTCCTCCTGCCCAATTTTCTGCCCCTCCAAACCATGCTCCCTCCATATGCATAGTTATGCTGGATCCTAAGTAGTCAGTGCCGATCGACAAGAGTAGCCATCGTTTGCCTCACAACGAAAAACTGATTTTCATAGATCGAACGTGGAATTCCATTCGTGCGTGATCCTCCGTACGACACGAACGTCGCGAAAATTAGACGGAAGTCGACAGAACGGGGCGTGGTTTGGTTAGAAGTTGGAAAATTTCGTTCGTCGGTGTAGCGAGGTGAATCCCAGGTATCTCTAGGATCGAGCTAAGAAAGTATAAGGCAGGAGGCAAGGAGAGTTTACTCTGTGAGGAGAGTCGTCGTTTCACGCTCTTAAGCTGAACGTCGGTTTCGATTCGATCTTCGCCTCGGTCACTTTACTGCTCTTTCTCAGCTACAAAGTGCAGATCGAGATCAAATTTCTGCCAGATACTCGGCCAACTGCAACCTGGCAAATTGGAAATTTTATATTTCAAGTGTACATTGTACGATGGAGCTTGTCGAGTTTGATGGAGCGATATTTATGCCACGTTGGTCTATTTTGTAACGATATTGGGAATGTTGATACGAACAATGGTAAAAATTAGTTCAGAGGAATTTCTAATGACAACGAGAAATAATAACGCTGTTAATGACGAACGAAATGTCAATTATATCAATAAAAAGAGCGACGAGAATGATAAAAGTACAATGATGACAAAAAATTGCAACTTTAAGTTAGACATTGTTCGAAAAGATCGATTGATCGTCTTGTTTATTAAGAGAATAATAATAATTTCAGCTTCTCGAATAAAGAAGCATATTGGTAAAAAATAATTAGTTAAAGCAATGAAAAATAAATTTATGAAACATATATGACATTTCTGTTGCTTTTACAGACTTTCACGAATTATTATATTGTTTGAAATATTCATAGCATGTCCGACAATTAATATAAAGTACTGCTGCGTATTTAGCGAGACTAAACAGAAGTGAAATTTTTTTATTCCACGACCAGTAAAGCATCGCCGTGAGGAATAAAATACGTAAAACTTTTTAATTCGTTTATCTGAATATTTTCATGAAATTCTTTTCATTCCTACGAACGTTTCGTGGAACACGATATACAATTTACGAGTTCTCGGAAACCAGTAGTATATATCAATAATATATATCACTTTGAAGAGATGCGGATAAACAACTGAGTTCACAGAAAATCTGCACAGAGAACGCTTTCAAAGATTATTCCTCGTATTATTTGTACCGTTTTGTTTCTATTTATTTATATCTATTAAATTTGCCAACATGTATATTTTATTCGACAATAAATTGTTTAGATCAGCGAAAAAGGTTTTTTATGCGAAAATCACTCATGAAATTTAGTAGTTTGTGATCGATCATTTATTTCGTATATGTCACGAAATATCCGAAAATCGATAATCACGGATGCGATTGATATGGGAAATTGAAACCTTCGAGCATCAACTGCTGTCCAGCGGACGCGAAATTTTCCGAAGTAATGGAAAGGATTCTCCATTAGGATCGAAGATTGCTAATAAAATCTAATTTTTGTTAATCTATGACTTTACGAGGAGTTATACAGGGTGGTTGGTAACTGGTGGTATAAGCGGAAAGGGGGTGATTCTACGCGAAAAAAGAAGACGAAAATATAGAATACAAATTTAAAAATTTAAAAATTTAAATATTTAAATATTTAAAAATTTTAAAATTTTAAAATTTAAATATTTAAAAATTTAAATATTTAAAAATTTAAATATTTAAAAATTTAAATATTTGAAAATTTAAAAATTTAAAAATTTAAAAATTTAAATATTTAAAAATTTAAAAATTTTAAAAATTAAAAAAATAACGTCAATCGAAACAACGATCTACAATGAGATCCGTTATAACGAGACGCGATAAAGTGCACGCGTACCGAGCGAAAATTCAAAGTCGATTTTCTCTAAAACAAAGCCTCGAACGAAAAATCGTTATTCTATATTTTCGACTTCTTTTTTCGCATAGAATCACCCCCAAAGAAGACGAAAATATAGAATACAAATTTAAAAATTTAAAAATTTAAATATTTAAATATTTAAAAATTTTAAAATTTTAAAATTTAAATATTTAAAAATTTAAATATTTAAAAATTTAAATATTTAAAAATTTAAATATTTGAAAATTTAAAAATTTAAAAATTTAAATATTTAAAAATTTGAAAATTTAAAAATTTAAAAATTCAAAAATTTTAAAAATTAAAAAAATAACGTCAATCGAGACAAAGATCTACAGTGAGATCCGTTATAACGAGACGCGATAAAGTGCACGCGTACCGAGCGAAAATTCAAAGTCGATTTTCTCGAAAACGAAGCCTCAAACGAAAAATTTGTATTCTATATTTTCGACTTCTTTTTTACATATACTGTATATACATCCTGTATATACACACCGCCAGTTACCAACTACGCTGTAGAATTTCCAAGAACCGATAATCACTCGTTCAATTAATCAACGTTGAAAATTGAAACTCTGTGTTCAAGACCGCCAATTCGTCTTTATCCGACAAAGAAATTGTCGAGACGATGAGAAGAATTGTCAAAGGAAGATCATCAGTTAAATCTAATTTTTATTTAACAGTGGCTCCAGGACTTCCAAGAACTGGTCGCTCTGAACGTAATTAGAATTTAAAACTGGGTGCTCCGTGTAAATTTAAATTTATTATCGAAAATTTCCAAAAGGAGTAAAAAGGATTCTGAAAGGAAGAAATTGCAATATCAATTTTAGTTAACAATGGCTTTAAAATTTCCAAGAACTGGTCGTTCTAAGTGTTGGAAATTGGAAACTGTAAATTTAAAAACCTTCAATTTCTTATCATCCCCTCCCCCCAAAAAAAAAATTTCCAAAGCAATCAAAAGCACTTGAGCTTCTCCGATGAATTTAGGATGTCTTGCTACGGTTATCACTAAAATCCAATTTTTGGTTACCCTGTGGCTTTACAAAGGACCGCACGTACGGCAGAATTTCCAGAAATCGTTAATTGCGAGTGTAATTAATATCGAAAATTGAAAGCCACTGTTTCGAACGTACCATGGTTTTCTGCGCCATAAAAGTCAAACCAAAGAGGCAACGGCCAACTAGAAAAGGTAGCGGCGAATAAAAATCTTGCGAGACAACAGCTACGATATCATGAAAGTTAAAGAACAACGTTACTGTTAATTTGATGAAGGTTCGTGCAAAACAATTGTGTTTTGTCGTATTTTTTTTTCTGTCCAATGTTCGTTTTTCGTCGACATCTACTTTTGAGGTTGCAACCGCTATCTTTTTAATCCCGAGGAAACATCATGCGCGACAACCGTGAAATAAAGGAAATGAAAAAATATTGTACAAAGTTTACGGAACGTGTAGGTACATCGTGTGCTTTCCATTAGAAGCAGCACTTCTACCGGAAGATGTATCTTGTTTTTCTTTTTTTTTCTTTTTTAGTTTCTTTCTTTTGATTTTCCCATGGGAGAAGAAATAACGAAGGGTAAAAGAAAGATGGTGTGAAAAGAAAGTTTCTGTGGACGTCGACAAGACGGGAATTTAACTTTAATGAACTCGTATTGTCTTGCAAACTACGTTTTCTTTTTTTTTTTTATTTCGTGAATGCGATATTCAAATAGAGAAGATTGTTTTTTCTAATTAGGAATTTTTTATAATTAACTATCAACCTGTTAAAGAAATGTGATTTCTTTAGATTTCTCGCGAAAATGTATGAACTGCTGTGTGAAGTGAAAGCGAAATGACATTCGCTTAAATTTAAGTTCCTCCTTCTCCAGGAATTTTGAAAGAGTAAATTACGAAATTTTCAGGAACTATCTTGTAATTCAGTAATTTTTATACTTTCTTTGGGTTTCGTTTAAAAACAAAACGAATCTACGTAGTACGCAACTAAAATGAAAATTCTGCGGTAATAGAATAGAATTGTTAAATTAAAGAAAATTTGTTTAAATTCTAGTCCTTTCGTTCCAAGAAATTAAAAAATAATTGGTTAAAGTACTCGCAATAATTGTCTTTCAATTTACTGACTGTAAATATGTTCTTTAACCTCCCCCTCGGAGACGCGAAAATATTCTAATTCCTTTAAATTCGAATCTTGTCATTTCCAGAAGTTTTTAATAATTTCCTATCAGTCTACTAAAAAAAAAAAAAAAAAAGAAACAAGTTTTTCCGAAGCACAGAGTTGTATAATTCTTCGCAACAATAAAACTGTGTCAAACCAGGAGAAATTTGTTCCAAAAATTTGTAATATTTACATGTCAGTTTACTAAGAAGACAAACGATTATCGAAACACAGAACCATAATTATACCTGCAACAATAAAAAAAACTGTGTCAGTTCTTTAAGATTCTTTTAAAATTTTAGTCCTTCTATTTCCAGAATCTTTGAATAATCATCCATCGATTGGCTAAAATAAAAAGAACGTGTCTTTTCGTAGCATAGAACTGCATACGATCCTCTGCAACAGTAAAACCGTGTCAAATAAAGAGAAATTCGGCTAAATTTAAATTCTTCCATTTCCAGGTATTCTAGTGTCGACGATCTCATATCCTTTCTTTCTTTTTTTTTTTTTTATTTCTCATGTTATAGGGTTCCTACGGGATCGTAAAGCTAGTTTACAACGAGGAGGACGAGACTCACTACGCGATGAAGATTCTCAGCAAGAAGAAACTGATGAAGAAGGCGGGAATCTTCGGTAGAATGGCTCCGGGAAAGAAGGGTGCGGCTAACCCTTTGGCGAAGGTCTACAGGGAGATCGCGTTGTTGAAGAAATTGGATCACCTAAATGTCGTGAAACTGGTGGAGGTTCTCGACGATCCGGACGAGGACAACCTTTACCTTGTTTTCGAATTGGTCCAGAGGGGCGAGGTACTTCAGGTGCCTACCGATAAACCACTCGACGAGGAGACTGCCAGGAAGAATTTTCGTGACGTTAAAGCTAGTTTACAACGAGGAGGACGAGACTCACTACGCGATGAAGATTCTCAGCAAGAAGAAACTGATGAAGAAGGCGGGAATCTTCGGTAGAATGGCTCCGGGAAAGAAGGGTGCGGCTAACCCTTTGGCGAAGGTCTACAGGGAGATCGCGTTGTTGAAGAAATTGGATCACCTAAATGTCGTGAAACTGGTGGAGGTTCTCGACGATCCGGACGAGGACAACCTTTACCTTGTTTTCGAATTGGTCCAGAGGGGCGAGGTACTTCAGGTGCCTACCGATAAACCACTCGACGAGGAGACTGCCAGGAAGAATTTTCGTGACGTTGTAATGGGCGTCGAGTATCGTAAGTCATTTACGAAGACTTAATTAAATACGTTGGCTAACCACAGAGAATCTAAGAAACAATTTAAATTCAAGTAAATTTGGTAAAAATGCTTCAAGTGTTTTATTTTGTTATTTATTCAAATATGTCACATTGTTACTTTATCAAATACTTTAACCTTAGCGCGTAACACAATTATTTATAGCTTGAAAAATAAGCCTCGAAAGATAGTTTCGTACAAGAACTATTTTCATTGTTTCAATGTTTCAAATCGACCACCTAATATCTTGTGACACCCAGTATAATTACTAGATCACGAATTCTTATGCAAATTTATATTGTTATGAATACTGAAGAAGCGAAACCAGATTTCTTTCACGTGTACATAATATAGTCAGAAGTTTACGTTGCATGTTTTGTCTGCTCTTTTACAGAATACATTCTCTGAATATTTTTACACATTCAAATTATTCATGGATGCATAAAAATCTGCAATCTAAAGCCTCGTCTCTACCGAAGCAACATCGAGCAACCTTTTGTCGCCTCTTGTTGCTGCCCGTGCTAAGTTGCAAGAAATTTCCGACGAACAGCCACAACCTATAGAGACATTTTTGTCCACGCTGAAGCAACGATCAAGCGGCTGTCTTTTCAAGTAATAGGAGCAACAACAGAAAGTTGCTCGACGTCGGTTCAATAGAAACGAGGCTCAGGCCCACAGTCCACGAGGTCAAGCTTCGTACACTCGTATTAGATGCAACGATGCTGAGAGTAGCTTGAAGCTTCCATTCGGCGGTCATTGTAACGCACACCTGTCCTCGAAACCGCAGCGAAGCCGTCTTCGTCGTGACGATTGGCGTTAACATTACGTCAGTACGTTGTAACCTCGCGTCATAACACGATGTCAGTGGCGAGACGCAGACTACAGCGATACAATGAAACGTGGTGATAAGTCAATGCCTCCTCGTCATCGTTTGATATTTTCATAGCGATACAAAATGTATTTTACTTCGCGCTTCGTACATCGACAATTGGAACACGATTGTGGCGTAAACGTATCGCCGTGTTTAACTCATTTGCTTCATGGCTGTACTTAACACGACTGGTCCCTATCACCGCGCGCGGTCGCTCGTAGATGCAGTAAACGACATCCGAATTCTTCATGGAGTTTATCGAAAATTATTTACTGTTCAATGTTACTTCGCAAACATCGCATCTTACATTCTTTATAACAGAGGAAAAAGGTAAAAATTATTTGGATTAAAATGGAAATAAAAAAAAGCAGTCGCAGCGCGCGTAATAATCCGCGCTTGGTGATAGAAGGAAGACCGCTATTACGCAGAAAATGTTTTAGGTTACAAGGTCTAGGAACAAAGGAAGTAATAAATAGATTTCTATTTATGTTCCTGTTGAGAATTGTGGATCTTAATTGCCGAAATAAAAGTAAAGGAACACTAAGGTTATACTTAGAATTCATATTAAAATACTTTTAGACTTATTCAATAAATGATTTCCAGGATCTTCGTCGATATGCATTTGCACGCGTCTCGGCACTCTCTTTGTCCCGTGCGCGGATTAATTGGATGCAACTGGACTGATAAACTTCAAATAGGCTTCTGCGAGGCGACGCTTCGCGGACAGTGGGTTAATAATTATATTTAATAATTATAATAATTATATTTAATATATCGCATGGGTGTTCTTAAAGTTCATTGACCTTGCATTGTCGCTGTTGTTGTTTAGTGCACTACCAGAGGATAGTCCATCGTGACATAAAGCCGAGCAACCTGTTGGTAGATAGCGACGGTCGCATCAAGATCGCGGATTTAGGTGTCAGCGCGGAACTGAGAGCATCCGGAGAATTATTGTCCGGACCAGCCGGGACTCCAGCGTTCGCGGCACCCGAAACAACCACGCCTGGCGCCCATTATTCTGGAACGGTAAGTACCATCGGCGTACGAGGCTATCGTCTGATCGATTTTCAATTTCGCCCCGTATTTATAGGCGGCGGAGAATTATGACGCCTGCTCTGTCTCTCTCTCTTTCTTTCTCTCTGTTCAGTCGTGTCGGTATCCTTGGGTGCCACCGTTCCGCTCGAATTTCGCGATGCCACAATTGTGATCGTAAATGGAGGACATCCATGACTGATCTTCTTTAGCAAGTGAACATAGGAAAAAGGATATGATAAGTCACATTTTCGGTTGTTCGTAGTAGGATTTAGTGTAATTTTATTGGGTCATTCCCTGGAAGGCTTCTAGGACGATTTTTATTAAAATTGGTTTTGTAGTAAATTTTAAGAATTAAGTGCGAAGTATGTGATACTCTATTTGAAACGAGATAAATGAGATTCGAAATGAATTTTCCGTGCAAATCTTATTTGAAATAGAGGCTATTGTTACGTAGAGAATTAGCTACTTTAAATAAAATAACAAATAATTTGCATTTTAAATGTCGTGTTTCGCACGCATTTGAATAACAAACATTATTTCGCAATACGACAACGCTTGCTCTCAAAATTGTTTTCTTTCCATTTGCTCATAGTTGATAGGATTTTTTAAGATAAACATACAACAAATTGTGCAGTTAAAATGATTCGTTGTTTCAAATGGTTACTCTCTTTATCTCTTTCTAAAATGAAACTTAACGATCCATGTCGTTGAGCATCAAATTAATTGATGAAACGAACATTTACTTTTGGGGTTAAGCATTTTTATCGTCCTGTTGATTACATCTCAAAAATATGTTTATAATGTTTGTGTCTTTTTGTAAAATTCCATACATCTACTGTCTAGTTTTAAAAGAAACTTGTAACTGATCTAAAATTATTCCTTTTCTTAATTACGTTCCATTGACATAATTAGATTATGACGCTAACAGCGATATCGTTTATGCCAAGCAAAAAACCTGTATGATCGCGGAATTAACGGTTAATCAACTTTAATTAAGAACGTTTGGCATAAATGCACGAGTGTACGTAAACTAACTCTGAAAAGAAGAGACGAAATTTGTTTTACGGTGCACGTGCTTATGCAAATGTGTAATTTATAAAAAAAAAAAAAAAACTAGAAATACTCTTTCCCCACATACGAGGAAAGTGACTCTCGGAATCTGATTATGTAACGTAATTTACATAATACAACTGCAACAGCGAACACGCGAATCTCAAGTGAATTCGCTTAACTGCTTAAATAAGAAAGAATAGAATGTTCCATAAACGTGTCATAAGTCTCTTGCTGGGTCATCATCATCTGGAACTCGTCAACAAGATCTATCGATCGTACAAAGAACAAGTAAATCTTAAGATATTGCAAAAAACCAATTTGTAAAATGTGGTTTAAAGGAAGCAGGATCTTAAATTTTTAATTCATACAGATATCATTTCTTTAATTTAACGTGTTAAAACATAGGCTTCTGTGTATGTGTATATTTCTAAAATTATTATATACACTGTCAGAAAATGCGAAAAAAGAAATGTTAAATTATTCGTAGGTTTATAGCTCAATACCACGTTAAATGCATAGGCTGAAAAGCATGATCAAGCTTTGGCCTAATTGTCCAATCGGAAACGTTTCTTTGTACTTCAAGGTCACTTGCATATTTTACGAACAGTACAAAAGATCGATGTCACTCATGCCACGTACTGGCTCCGATTTGGATGAAACTATGTGAGCCTGACTAAACAACCATAGATAGTAGATTCGTATTTCTTCTTTTTTTTTTTTTTTTAGCTGTAGTAACTCAAGTTTAAGGGCTGAAACTACCCTCCAAAGTACGGTCCTTTAAACGTGAACTCGGGAAGGTTTACGTAAGTGGGACAAATTTTTTTTAATGAAGATGAAATGATTTCTGACATGTTAAAAGAAAACGCTGTGATCAGTAAAGGTTTTTGGAAAATGTATAAAAAATATTGGTCCTTCAAAAAAAGAAAAAAGAAAAAAAGAAATAGTAACTGTGCAACTAAATAACTAACTATAATAATATAATAATAAGTAACTAAAATAAAAAAGATGGCATTCTGTATTGCACAAGCAACGATGTACACACACGTAGTAAACATATAGTTGACTCGCTGTTTGTATATGTGTGGCCACGTTACACGTACCCTGAAACTTTTTGATAAGAAAGTTGGGTCACATAGGGCCACGCCATTTTACTTAGATTGACCATGACACGTTCGACGTAACAACTGTGACATCGAGTTTAATTTAACTTTCTTTTATGCTGAATCGTGCCTGAATTAACTTTGAGTCTAGTTGATAAGTCGAGTCCAGTTCGGTTGATATAGTATTTTTAACTCGATTAATTTTTCATTCCACCTACATTTGACGATCAAATTTCGAGTTACTATAAATTGAAACATTCGTGAGTTTTTCTAACATTTTCCTGTGTAACATAAAAATTATAATATGATAAATTGTTGTATTAAAATCGTATTAAGTATAACGAAACGTAATAAAATATCATTAATATTATTATTAAATATAACATAATATTTCTCTTGAAAACGTATTTAGTTTTCAAGAAACAGATAAACCACCGCCTACGAAAGTATTAACTTCAATTCTAACGTCTTTAATACCATTGACTCGTCCAGATCAGGTCCACGAACTTAAACGGAATTAAGATCTTCGAGTCTCTTTAATAACCAATAATTAACCTAATTTAGAACAATGTGGGCGTACTTAAACTAGCTACGGGTTGTTAATCTTTGGCTAAAATCAGAACGGTGGTGATACAAGAGAACGATATATATGTGATTCAACTTAAACAGTAAGATAAGATTAACGATCGCAACACATTATTACGCTCTCTGTCATACAGACGACCGAACGTGTAATTTGACGTAGACTAGAGTAATTTTATCCTTTTCATGTGTATTTCCATGATTACAACGGGGACGTATCGCGTGACCTTATCGACAAGTCGATCGATTTAGCCAGTGGAGTTGTGGAAAATTCAATGTCCACGAGAGTGACACGTTACCCAATTCATTAGCTGTTCAAGAGCTGTAATTACTAATCAGTTTCTTAACTGACGATCTTCGAATTTTTGTCTCGTTCTAAAGACAAAAGAGAATTTCAATGGTTTGATAAAAATTGAATTCACATTTTATATTTTCTTCGAGCAATCAGAAAGAATTGTAATATTTGAAGAAAAATCTTAATCAACCATATGATCGGCAATTCTTCCGAAAGTTACGAATATTTAAGCATGAAATATACATTTTATGACACGCTGTCCCGGAACAATTTATAATCCACATTTTGTTGAAACTTTACCAACTCTGTCGTAAAAAGAGCCAGTGAAAATATTTTATGAGTCTCTAACATGGAAAGCTTCCAGATAATAAATTAGTGGGGATACCAACGTTAATCTTCCACTCTAAAAGCTAAGAAATAAATGGAAAGTAAAATAAAAGTGGAATTGAAAATTGGGAGCATTTAAGATAATTTTGCATTAAAAACGAATATTTCGTGTGTTTCAGTTATGTGACGTATGGTCAATGGGCGTGACACTCTACTGTTTAGTGACCGGAAAAATCCCTTGGGATGGCGCTGGGAGTATAATTGGTGTCCAAGCGGCGGTACGCAGCGAGCCGTTAAAATTTCCGGAAAAACCCGTCGTTTCGGAAAATCTTCGTGAATTGATCGCGAAAATGCTGGCGAAAAACCCAGCTGAGAGAATCAAGTTATCAGATATCAAGGAACATGCCTGGCTGACCAATTGTGGCGCTGAACCACTGCCAAGCGAGGCTGACAACTGTCGACTTCCGGTTACTGTTACAGACGAAGAAGTAGAACGAGTGGTCACAAGGATACCCAAACTCGACACGTTGATTCTTATCAAAACTATGTTGAAACAGCACAGTTTCCAGGTAAGTGGAATTCTATCGTTTAAATTTGCCGCTATTTGTAACTTGTTAACGTAATTTATTATATATAAATAAAAATAAATTTTACAATAATGTATGAATGATTCGTGGCGTCGCTGACTTTGCTTAGTATGGTTGAGAAAAAGAAAATAATTTAATTCGATAATTAATGTTTACAAAAATAGTAAGAGGAGGTTAATATTTTATATTTGGCGCTATTAATACACTATTCGAATAATTTGGCTCGCAATTTGTGAATAGCAATTATCGATATTCGATAAATTGTAGATTAGTTCTAGCTCGTAAAGCGAAAACTGCTGTGGCGCAGATCTGCCAACCAGTATCAGGCTTTAATTAATAAATCCCACAACTAGTTTGAAGTATTATGCTACTGATTTAACCTTTGACAATCCAATTATAGTTTATGGTTTCCGCTTTACTCGAACGTAAAATCATGCAACAAATTGCATTTAGTTGACGCACTATAATACCCTTTGTTTCCACGAGTGTTCTATCTAAATATCTTCTAACTCGTGCCTATCGGTAAAGTAGAGATCATCCGTAAGTCACATATACTTTTTCATGTAAGATTAACAACTTTTTATGCATTTGTTCATTTATTTAAACTTCGTATTGAATGATCTATAAACATTTCCCTCTTTTAAAAGTACAAAGAATTGATATTCAATAATATTCACTATTATAAGACATTTATATGTTAAACTATAGCATTCTAACATAGACATCGTCTGTATAATATCATAGAATTCATTAATATAATTTATTTTATGATGTTATTGAAACTATTTTTCTTTCTTTCTTTTCAATGAAAGAGTTATGACGAATCTTTTAGCTGTTTCTTACTTTGATAGTTTTAGACTCTCATATCAGTAGAGAGACGCGCGCATAAATTGGTTCTGACAAATGCACGACTGTCAGCTAATTTCTCTAAGAGGAGAAGGTTAGAAGATGAATTATTATTGATGATCCCAATTGACGAACTTTTCTATTCAACTTGTAAAACTTTTTTTGCCATTCTTTCCTTTTACTTTAATGCTCGAGGTCGTTAAGGCGCCGTTCTATATACCGTGGCAGTTTTCTTACCCCACCCTGGTTATCTCTTCACCGTAGTTTGGGTGATATTAGGACGAAGCGCTAGTTATTGCCAGCTTGTCCCTTATAATTGCATTAAAGGGAAATGGATCCTTTACGTTCGCGTGAGATTGTTCGCCCTTCACCATGGCCAACTGTACGTCGATGCGATAAAAGTCGGAATAACGTAGACCTCGCAGTTAAAGTGCAGCCAACCGTAAAAATTCACTCGACTCTTCGTGATTCTTCGAATATCCCGCGTCGACTAAATACATAGATCCTTCGTGGCTGCAAATGAAGCGATAAAAAGAAAATACGAAAAAAAGTGGTAGATATCGTTCGGATACCGTGAGACCTTATTTTTCCATTTGCGATTAACTTTAACGAATGAAAGATTTCGAAGATATGTACTACTACTCGCTAGAAAATAATAAAAATCGATTTTTAATGTTTTTATTAAATGATTATGAAAACTCGAATCTCAACTTACAGGAACTTCCGAATTCTGCAATAGTCAGGTTATTGTAAGTACCAAATCTTTTTATTGCCTCCGAACTCCCTATTTTATGGTCGTCAGTAAAAAGTTATAAAAGGGTATATAGAATTCTGTATGGTGGGGATAGCAAATGCTCGACGACCTTAAACGATTGAAACTTTGTCGCGAGCTATAGACAGACTGGAAATCGTCGTCGATTAGGCAACTCCTAGATTCGGATGGGCATGAAAATGAATTTTTTCTCTCATACAGGCTTTTCATCGAGCACATTAAGCCATTTGGAACAGTGAATCGCGATCACGATAGAAGGCTGTTAGTAGAAATCTATAAAGTATGATAGGAAGTGTGGTGAAGACAACAGTAGTTCAGTGACCTCGATCTGTTAAATCTAGAAACTAGTTTCATTTTCTATAGGGACCTCAGTTGTGAGTACTACGAAGCCATTTGGATCAATTCAGTCCTAATCATCACAAAAGCTCAGCAATAAACAGTTACACAAGAGACATGGGAATCTGATCTCTAGTGATAACTTGGCGACTTTGAGTGCCTTAAACTTCGTTACCAGCTGTAGAATCAGTGCAAAT